AATCCTGCAGCAGCAGCAGCGAGTGCGGCACCTCCTGCGACTTCGTGTGCAACTGGACCGATTGCGATAGGTAAGAGTCAACTTCACTAAACTTAGTCACCTAGTCAGTCTGGAAAAATGAAAGAAATTTTCTAATCAAACGTAATAGTTCGGAAAAATTCAAGAAATTTCTTATGGGAGCTCTTTTGCAATGCTATATATCAAATAAATAAGATTATAAAGGAGATTTTTAGTTTTTATAACAAACATGAATATAGAATTAGAGTGATCAACACCTAAATATAGTTTAAATTAATCAGAACTCAGATTTGTGGCTCAAATTGTACTTGAAATAGACCCGAACAATCAGCAATGTAATTCTTCCGAAATTGAAGTCGCCGGGAAAAAGGCATTGAGAAATTCTAGTAAAATATAAAACACAGTTCCCCTGCGTATTACCATCAAAACTGATTACGCATACGACAGAGAAAGAAAAACCCCGAGCAGGCTGGAATTTCTAGAACTGTTGGACTCGCCGACTTCTGATAAAAAAAAAACCAATAGCGATAATATGATTTTGGGTCAAATTATATTGGGTAATTTTGGATACGAAATCAAACCTCTTTATATCCGTAGTAACCAACGAAATCCTTTGATCCTTGCAGAGTTTTCGACACCTTGGATGCCCTGGCGCAGCACGTGACCCAGCGACATGCGATCGCCAGCCTCACAGACGGACTCTACTACTGCCGCTGGAGGGGATGTCAGCGCAGCGAGCGGGGATTCAATGCCCGCTACAAGATGCTCGTCCACACCCGCACCCACACCAAGGAGAAGCCGCACCGCTGCCACCTGTGCGAGAAGTCCTTCTCGCGGGCGGAGAACCTTAAGATCCACATCAGGTCGCACTCAGGCGAGAAGCCATACAAGTGCAGCTTCGAGGGCTGCCAGAAGGCGTACTCGAACTCCTCGGATCGATTCAAGCACACACGCACCCACTCGATGGAGAAGCCGTACATGTGCAAGGTGGCCGGATGCCAGAAGCGCTACACAGATCCCTCCTCGCTGCGAAAGCATGTGAAGACCTTCAAGCACAGCATCCACCTGATCGCCAGCCAGCCGCTTACCCTGCCCAGCGTACCCTGTCTGCTGGAGGCCAGCGGCGAATCAGCGTACACGTGTCTGCCCGCTGCCGGCAGTGTGGAGTCCACCAGCTCCTCCTCCTCCGCCCGCTATTACGATGACTCCAACAATGAGCCCAGCGATTACTCGCTAAAACCCAAACAGGATGCGGAATACTCGCCCAGCTATTGGCTAGGCGAAAGACAGCATAGCTACCTCCATAGCGAGGACTTGTTCCTTAAGATGGACTTGGAGACACCGCTGGACCTGCGCATCCATCGAATCTGAACCAACCAACTGGCCAACCGGTTCGCCTCTCGTCTCTCTTCCCCTTCTAGTCATTGTGCTGTTTCCCAGCTCTTGTCACCACACCTAGATTACTATTATTAACGTGATTAAAGACTGTTGTAATTGAACTGCTCTAGTTTGGCATGGGGTTATCTTTGGGATAGATCTATGTTCCTTCATAGTGACTGCTGGTTATGCTAGTAAATCGAATTTTTCCAAAAATACTTCACGGTATTGGAAAATCCCCAGTTGCAGACAGATTCGCCATAAAACTAGTGACCAATCCTAATCGTCTTTGATAAGACTTTATGATCCAGACCTTTGTTATGGGGAAAATCCCCTTTTCTAATGGCTAGGCCCACAGAGCGCTGGATATTGAAAAATATTTATTGTTTAAATGCGCATCTAGACGAGTATTCACAACTGTTAATAACAGATTTAATCTTTTTTGCTGTTTATAGGAATGTTAGTTGATCTAGATAACCTCTCGTTTTTATACAAACAACAAGAACAAACAAAATAAATAGCAAAAGTATTTCACATTTGAAATAGATGAATACACTTTGAAAGCGATATCAGGGTGTACACTATATATAGGCATATATACTGGCAACACACTACATAGTAAAACCAAATAATCAAATTAATATTATTGTTGCACTCGCGTCACTTAAGGAAACATATACGTTGTAGTCCCATCATCAGGATCTGCTGTACACTTGTACACCTGGGCTGGATGCGGCTGGTGGTGGCCAGTTACCATTAGCCGTATCATTATGCTCTAAAAAATCTTACAACTCGTACAATATATTGTCGGCATATTGGGCACTCGTTCAACACTTTTCCACAGCTCGTGCAGGTGGCCATGTGTCCGCACTCTAGAAAAACGCACTCAATCGGTGCGTCCATGCAGATTTTGCAGAGCTCATCAGTGGCGAGTTTTTCAACAGCTGCGTAAATGGTTGAATCATTATTATGGCGAAATTACAGTGCAAGGTCCAAAGCTCACCCGGACACTCGCGCATGGTTTTCCACAGCCTGCTGACGCGATCGAGAAGCTCCTGCTTCTCGCAACAGCCTTTGTAGTCGACGCGGTGCAGCATCAGCACCTCCTTCAACTGCTTCACTGTCAAACCCTCCAAGTCTTTTCTATAAATCAATAAGGAGGCATTAATCATTCATCGATTTTTAAGAGAACAGAGCACTTACAAATCCTCAAAGTCTTCCAAATTGACGAATCGTGAGTCAATGCCAGCTGTCGGTTCGAAGTCCGATGGAGCGGCGTATACATGGATGCCCTCGTCATCGTCCCAGCGGATATCTTCGTCCTGCGTTGGCGAGAACTCGATTGTCGGCGTGATGGGCATGTCCGGTGACCTTCCGCCAGCAGCCACACTAATGGCATCCACGCTGAGAGGTGACACTGCGTGGCTGTCCGCATCGGAGACATCCACCGACTTGGTGCGCTGCTCCAGGTACGTGAGGAACTCCTGGAGCTCACGTTTGATGTCCTCTTCGGACATTTGCGAGTTCTCCAGATGGCGACGCATTTTCTCAACGTGTCGACGAATGTTTGTCTTGTTTTTACCGCAGCGCTGGCAGCTCTGGCGATGGGAGTGCGGATGCAGGCCGTGCTCTGGGTGTTCACTCAGCGTAGAAAGCCCCAGGCTTAGACCAGGTCCGCCTGGAGTCACAGGTGACTCGTCATCGCTGGAATGGTAGCGGCGATTCAAGTAACCATCGGATCGTCTTCGGGTGACCTTTTTTGTGCGCTGCGGTACGGCGGGAATGAACGCCGGACTTGGGTTGGCAGGGCGGTGTTCTATGTTCAGTGTCTGAGTGCTTTCGCCCATCTGACTATCGTCGCCCTCGACCGCCGGCCTGCTGCGCAAAGTCACCTCCAAGATCTCGTCGGCCGCACTCGTGGTCGGCGTCTCTTCCACAGCATCGATCCTGTTTACTTCCAGCACCTGCCATTGATCTAGGTGACTGCTGTTGGTGTCCGTGGTGGCCTTGCTCTCGTCGGAGATGCCGCCAATGGCGCCCAGCTCCTCAAAACTTGACTGCGAGGAGGCATCCGCCTTGGAGCTGCTTGAGCCTGGCTTGGAGCAACCCGGACTAGGCGCGGTGTTCCCTGCAGCTCCATTTTCTGCGGTCGCCAGACCTTCAGGACTGGGCTCTGTGGCAGCATTAGGCCGCCGGCCACTGGTATCGGTTTTAAGCGACAGCGAAACGCGCTCACTGAACGTGGCCATAATCTCTTCGTCTGAGCACTCGCAGTCGGACTTGCTTTCCGCATCTTCCTGCTCCTCATGGTTCACTTCCTGATGGGCCACCTGGGCCTGGCTGCTACTGCTGACATCGCGGTTATTTGATGCTTGCGTGGAAGTCGAGGGACTGCTGCTGCTTCGACTGCCACCATTGGTGGTTGTGGCCTGCTGTTGGACATGCACATGTTGTGGTCCGCCGTTAACGGCACTGGCATAAGTGGGAATCTCACGCGTAGATACTCGCGGCTGCTCGAAAATGTGGGTGGGCACTTCCGGTTGCCTGCTCTCCGGCGGCTTTGTGGTAACTTTGGAATCAAACGAGGCTAGTGAATCACTTATGTTATCGCTTAGGTTGGAAAAGAAGTTTTGGCACGACTGTTTAAGGCTGTCGATTGGGTTGGCCTGGCCGCGACCCGGACTGTTGGAGGAGGCGTTTGAGCCTCGGCTCCTGTCAACCTGGGCCACATGGGTGAGGACCAGTCCCACAAGCTCCTCTTTCTCTGTTGAAAAAGTTGTATGAAGTAGTTTATGCCGTATTTCCTTATTCAGGGGACCTCCTGGAAGTGTGACTCACCTAGACAGCCTTCAGTAGAGATGTGTTTGGACTGCAGATAGAAAATCAAGTCCTTGGGCTTGAGCTTTAATAAATCTGTCCTTGACAAAGGACGCTGGGCGAATACGGAGCACCGTTTGCATCGCCTGGATGCAATGCAGTTGGCACAGTAGTAGCGTCTAATGGGGGATTACAAAATTTCGGTGAGTCCCCGAAACCTGAGACAACCATATGCACAGGGCATTACTCACTTGCAGTCGAAGCAAGCGCGCTTGCGGCGGAATACCGTGAATTCCACGCCGCAACTTTCGCAGGGCATCGTGAACGTTGGACCCTGGCCAGCTGCTCCTATCGACCGTGTCCTTGCGCTGAATCCTTGCCCTTCCTGGCGATTACACCCCTTCCGCCTGCTCACGCCCACTGTGCTGGCATTGCGTTTGTTTTTCAATGTCAGCGCCGTGGAATCACTGGATAGATAATGGCCTGCAGCGTATTTACCTCGCGGGGATTCGGTCAAGTCGGGTGCGCCGGGGTGCACTCAACGCTTAATCATAGCCAGCTGGCTGCGTTCGCGATGATTTTTATAATTTTATCAGGCCAACCAAAATAGCAATTTAATGTACAAGAGTCACGGTTGCATGACGGGTTTCTATCGGTCCAGTCTGCCGATATGTTATCGATAGGCCAGGCGATTGGCGGTTGGTTTAAATGCAGGTTTATTATGTTTACTTATTTTTTGCTGGAATATCAGTCTAATGCTATAATTACCAAATCAAATTACTTTACTCTTTTAGTTGGTTTTATTTAATTCACATCCACTACTTACAGTTAAGTATGTAATTGTATGCATTTAAATAGTTAAGTGCCATAAAATGTTGCAATCTTGTTTAAAATAATACATCAATTAATTGCTAAATATTATACGGTCTGCCTTCTGCTTCGCCTTCAAGTCAATTAGTTATATACACATGTGGTTTCCGATGATTGAGCTTTTCCAAAATTCTTGTCGATAAGTCTTTAATTACATAAACAAATGCGTCCGTTGTTGCTCCGGCCAGAATGTTGGCCAGCCATAATAAGAGCTGGCTTATGATGGCAGTTGGAGAGTCCGTCCTCAAGCAGCGCCAGCACCGCATCGTTCGTTTTCAGTGGCCACGGGTGTTTTAAGGTTGTTCTTCCACAGGGGATCTTAAGTAGCAGCAAGAGAGAGCGAGAGCGAGAGCGAGTCGTCAGTGAAGATGAAAATGTACATTCTTTAATTTCTATTGGCGAGTTGAACGTTGCTTGGCCCTGAAGAGACTGGGGACTGGCTACTATGACACCAGACCCGGATCCTCGGCTTTCACGTGGCTCTGCAGGGGATCGTCGTTGTTGTTGTCATCGTCGTGGATGCCCGAGGAAACCAGCGCCCGGTTTTTCTCGTAGTCGACAAAGTCGTCGAAGAGACTGGGCCACGCTTCGGTATCATCGTAATTTTGTATATCACATTGTTCCGTAAAATTGAGGTACATGTTCCATGTATCCTTCGGTATGCGGCGAATATTCGGGTGCTTTTCGAGGAAGTGAATCCAGTTGGAGAAGAGATCAGGTGTTTGTACAGTGAACACGAGTTTCCACAGGTCGATAGCCATCTCTAGTGAGAGGACGCGCTGATCGGGCTCCAGACCAAAGCTGAAATTAGAGATGCTATTTAGAAACTGATGTTGTCGGCAGAGAGAACAGCGTACCGGAATGTGAAGCGATACAACTGCTTGAACATCTCGGCGTCCGCCTTGAGCATCTCGATTGTCTGCTCCAGCCGCACCCGGATGCTGGCTATTGTGTCCGCCCTCATCTTGTGCAGACCCTCAATGAACTCCACCTTGGTGAAGCGGCACATCTGGGAGGCATCCAGGCACCAGGCCAAGACGAGAATTGCGAACTCATCGGGCTGATAGTTGAGGTCATTGCACAGTCGCTCGATGCCGTCCGTGAGTATCATGTCCTCGTCCTCCGGATCTTTGTACGCGTCGAATAGTTTGCTCAGCGTCTGGTGCGATACCTCCATTGATTCCTTGACAGCTATTAGATTATACAACATCGAATGAGTATTCCGCCAAGGCACTCGGATAACAGCTGACTCACCAGTTGTTATGATGTCGCTCATGGTGGGCGCACTGCCATTAAGCAAACCTAAAGACTTAAAACTATTACGCTTAGTATCACAATTGTTTGCTTTTGCTGGCTTGAGTGGAGTTCGGCTAGAGAGCAGTTCATCGGTTTCTAGTGAGCATAGGGCGGAATAAAGAAGGGTTCTTAGACTTTCGATCACCAAGCGGTTATTAACTTTAGAATACCCACCTAAGGCGCAGCGCTCGTTGGCATTGGGATTAATGCCCACCGATTCGTAGCAATTAGCAAGGCTGGTGGCCGTCTGGCAGGCGTTGGAATTGGAATTGTGTGAATTGGGGGACGAGGCGTTCGTTGGCATCGATTGTTCGGCGGCAGACTGGAAGCATTTCAGGCAATTGCCCATAGTGCGGGCGTGCTTGGTGCACCACCAGGTCCTTCTCCCTCCCCCGTGCTCCGTCTGCAGTTGCTTGCTTAACGGGAGCACTTGATGGCTTCCAGTTTCGTATTGGCTGAGACACTGTGATTTGTCAAGGGCGTGCAATTGCAATTGAGGTCTGCTGGTCGTATAGCTCCTTGGGAATTTATTAACTATGCATTGGCACTCCGATTCCCTCCACTGGCATATGGTAGTGGCTGTTCCAATTTCGATTCCAAGTACGTCTTCTACGAGTACAAACAAGTACGATTCCGATTCCGATTCTTTGTTGTCACTGCGATTGCTGTTGTTATTTTGGTGCCTCCTACGCAAACGCACACTCACGCGTATACACATACATGTGCAGGTTGCAACTGCAGCATTTGGTGCCACCAAATCGCGCTCGTCTCTCTTTATTGATGGCTTTCATTCACATTTTCAGTTTACCGTGTTCCAGCGCTTGTTTAACTACAATTTTGTATGATATTTTTAATTTGATTTATCTCGTTTTTTCACTTGTCTTGTTTTTTTTCTGGCAATCGGACCAGGGCGGCACTAGTCAACCAGGGCGGCACTGCTCTAAGTTGCTTGTATGCGATAGTCGAAACGATTTCGGTCTGGCAACGCCCTATCGTTAGAGAGAGCCACAGTGGGCCAAAAAATTGATTTAGCACAGTAGTTCACATTTAAAAAAATTAAAAATTATTCTAAACAGTTTTTAAATACGAATAATGCAGATATTTGCATATTCTTTTTTTTTAGAAATTTAAATTTTGCTTAGATTAATTAATTGATATAAATATTCACATGCCTTCTCAGCTGTAGATATGCACTCTTCTCGACCACTGTGCGTAATGTGAGCGCCGAAGTTTGAGCCAAGCTAGCTATTTCATTCAACAGCATGCAGTCGGAGCGGTAGAAAGTGCTTCCGGGTAACGGCATTCGGAACGTGCATATTCTACCGATCGCCGAAGAAAACTTTCGGATCGTTTTGCTAAAAAGAAAAGTGTCGTCAGGCTGCCCGAGTGGGAAAATCCAATTCGAAATCCTGCATTTGAAAAGTGGTCTTAAACCGGGACAACTAACTGGTAATAAGTGAGTGTGTGTATCCGTGGTAAATAAGTAAATGGTTGACTGCCTCGATTTTCGGTTGTTTTGGGCAATTCGAAAACCAGCCAACAAGGTTGAGTGAACTTGGTAGTTGGCCGTTGGTATGTAAGCCAAACTCCATCGTGTGTAGTAAATGGGTAATGTTTTCCTTGTGTGCGTGTTTGGTGGGCCTGTGATTCTTCACCGCTGCTACACTTTTCTTTTTTGGATTATTAATTCGAAACGTGTGAAGTTAGTACAAGTGCTGGGAAAAAGGGCAGTCTGCTCAACGGGGAATTTGGATCATCTTCGGGCTCATTTTAATTGGCCAACCACACGATAAACACATTAAAAAGTGGAATGTGAAAATAAGTATGTAACCTACATATACATATGTACATATATCTTAATTGAATATAATTAGGACCTTAATCACTCAATCCGATGCATGTACATACATACATACATATGTATGTATTATGGATCCTTAGCATCACCCAACATTGAAATGAATAAACCTTACTTTGGGGAGCTAACTTTAAAATCAAGTTAATGACTATAAACTGTAGTACAAAATATGCAAGCTTATTTTATTCCTGTTATCATCAGGTGTACATCATTTCAGCGCTGAGCGACAGTTTCTTGGGTATGTCGACCATATTTTCGAAGTAGCAGGCCAGCTCGTCGATATTAACTTCGTCGGGGCTCTGGATCTGAGCTTCTGTTCCATCATAAGGGAAAATATCCTCTAATTTATCACAATCATTGGTCAGGGAGGCCGTTTCAGGAACCTTTGGGATTGACAATCTTCCAGAACCAGAAATATTTTCACACGCGCTCATCATGGCTTTAAGGTCGTACGTATTACCAGAATTTGTATTTGTACTAGCCGTGATATTTGCCCAGTTTAATTCCGCCTCTTCCTCGATGTCTTGAATTCGGCGAACCCAATCTAGTCCTTCGGCACGGATTATTTTAAAGGGGTGTTGAATTCTTTGTTCCCGAAGCAGGACCTTTGGCTTCATAATTTCGGAATCTTTTAATTTGGGGAATGAACCCAATGTTGCCTCCATTACGGATTTATGGGAAGTTGTTCCTTCGATTGGAAAGTCAGAGATTATCATCTTATGCAGCTCGGAGGACAACATTTTTAAAGGCATCTTTTTGAATTGATCCAAAACAAGTATTGTGTGTGAGTGTGTCTGGTTTTGTAGTTGGGGCTTATGTGACCTACTTTTCAGAATCTTAGATGTCTGATGTGAAGGAATAGAAATTATAATGAAACGCCTATTCATCTGGCCTTGGATTCCTTTCAGATCGATTCGAGAATTTCCAACCTGATTGAAAGATAACACAGACGAGTATGTCATCGGATCGCTTTCACAAGTGAGTACATGCAATTAATTTGGCTCTATCTTATCTCCAACGGAATACACAAGACTCATTTACCTTCTGGATCAATCTTTTGCGTTTAGAGCCGCCAAAGATGGACTGTTGGATGTGCTGGCAGCAGCCACCCGGAAGGATACGAATGCCAAGGACAGTGATTCCATGACGCCGGTCATGTGGGCAGCCTTCGAGGGCCGTCTGGATGCACTGCGTTTGCTGTGCGGAAGGGGGTGCGTAATAGTTTAATTGATGTTTCTATATTTACTGACAATAATCCTTCCAGTGGTGACCCCGACAAATGCGATCAGTTCGGAAACACAGCCTTGCACTTGGCCTCCGCCAAGGGTCATTTGCATTGCGTCGACTTTTTGGTGAAATTCGGGGTAAACATCTATGCCTTGGATATCGATAAGCACAGCGCCAAGGATCTGGCGGCTATTAATGGCAGGGATGAGATCCTGCGCTACTTGGATGTGGCCTTCACAAACTTGGAGGCCACTGAAAAGTAAGTTTATGAAATATCTTCCGCCTGTTTGGCATGAATTGTTTTTGTTAAGGCAGTTTTACGATTCCTCAAGCAACTGATTTCTGTTAATATCTCTTCATGGACTAATATACTGCTATAATTTACAGAAAAAAATGCAAGGCCCTGAAAGAATTGGCCGAGAAGAACTGCGAGAAACGTGTGCGGGAGTACATGAAACGTCAGAATCAGCAGCAGCAGCGCCAGGATCCGGAGTATTCGGACCTAAGCCCACCCAGTGGCTCCAGCAAGACCAGCAACATGCTGTCCACTCTCAAGCAGAAGATCTGGTCCAGCCAGGGCAATCTAAACAAGACATCAAGGGATACGCCGCCTCCCACAAAGTTCAGCGATCTGGTTGGGAGCGGTAGCAGCAGCAGCGGAGGCTCCACGATAGCCAGTCGAGCGGGAACGGTGCAAAAGAGACCTTCGCAGCTGCAAAAGCAGCACAGCAGCACATGTCCACACTCCAAGATTTCCAGCGACACAGACGGTGGCTTCAAGGTGCGCGAGGTGGAGCCGGATGGAAAGCGAACCATTACATCGCTTACGGGTCTGCAGCGAGACTCCGAAGTGCTGTACGTGGGCACATTCAGTTCCAACGAGGACAGTGTCGGCAAGCGCGGCAAGATCAGCGATGTTTTTGAGTGCATGGAGGCCGATGAGTTGGACCACAGCGATAACCGCAGTGGCTACAGCACGACTTTGGCACGTTCCTTCTCTCAGCCGGATATTCTCGGGGATGGTCAGTTAACCCAGGAACTAAGCGCGGAAGTGACCCTCCAAAGGCCTGTTGGACTCTTTGACAGACCCACCATGTTGGGCAGCATTGCTTTCCGTCGATCCGTAACAGCGGCTTTGAGTCAGCTCCAGCTACACACGGACACCAGTTCCACATCCACGATGCGCAATGCGGGCAGCAATCCTTCAAAGTCACGAAATGGCGGTGGAAAGGGTCGCTTATATCTGAACCTTTCGGATGATACGGACTCTGAGGGCGGCGGTCACGACGTCTATAGCGATGATGACGACGACGACCGAGAGGCCGGAGGAAGTGCCTTGCAGCGATTCCTGGCCGTCTGGGCCCTGGAAGAATACCTACCAGTGTGAGTACCAAAACCAAATTGGACTGGAATGCATTGTGTATGTAACTCCATTACTATTTCAGATTTCAGAAGCAAGAGATCGATTTGGAGACCCTGATGCTGCTCACAGAGTCGGACCTCAAGTCACTTGGCTTGCCGCTGGGTCCATTCCGTAAACTCACCTTCGCCATCCAGGAGAGACGTAACGCCCTGGCCAATCCCGGACCCCTGGTAGACAGCCGACTGTAGTAGTTGGCCTAATCACTCTATTTTTTGTAATACTTCAACATGTTTAATTAGCCTAGTGTACATACTAAATTAAAGCCTAAATAATTATCACCCCGACACCTGTTGCATCAGGTAGAGGTTGGCGTAGATTTTGTTCAGTGCCATCAACTCTTCGTGGGTGCCGTGTTCCACTACCACCCCGCGTTTAAGCACACAGATGAGATCCGCATTCCGTACGGTGGTCAGACGATGGGCGATCGTCAGGCATGTGCGGCCGGATCTCGCCTCATCCAACGCCTGCTGCACCACCTTCTCGCTCTCCAAATCCAGCGCAGAGGTGGCCTCGTCCAGGATGAGTATCTTCGGGTTTCTGACCAGCGCTCTAGCGATGGCGATGCGCTGCTTCTGACCACCAGAGAGCTGCGAGGTCTTGCCCAACCGGGTGTCGTAGCCTTGGGGCAATGCACTAATAAAGTTGTGGATATTGGACTTCTTGGCCGCCTCAATGATCTCCTGCATGGACACGTCGTCCCGGAAATTGTTGCCATAGGCTATGTTCTCGGCTATGGTGCGATCGAAGAGCACAGGTTCCTGGGAGACCAGGCCCAGCTTGGAGCGCAGTGTGTCCAACGGGAACTCGGTGCTCGGCATTCCGCTTAGGTTCACGGATCCCGATACGGGATCGTAGTAGCGGAGCAGCAGTTGCACGCAGGTGGACTTGCCGGAGCCAGACGGACCCACAAGAGCCACCGTCGTCGACTTCTTTATGGTAAGATTTAGGCCCTGCAGAATGGGAGTACCCTTCCTCGTCGGATACTCGAAGCCCACGTTTTCATAGACAATGTCTCCATCGGATTTCTGAAAAGACAATGAAATTTAAGTGTCGGGTTTCGATAGGTGAAAAAATGCATTTCCTTGCATAAAGCGCTGGTCTGAAAGTTGACTCACCTCAACTGTATTGTAGGGACTCTGTGGGGGATTGGGCTGCGTGGAGGTGTGCTTGAAGAGATCCATCAGGCGTCCAGCGGACAGAATCGCATCGTTTACATTCGGCGCGTAGGCCAAGGCCTGTCCCAACATCCAGGAGCCAAAGATCAGAGCCTCGGCCACCTTGATGATGTCCTCATAGTTCATTCGCTCCTCTGCCACCAGCACTCCACCATAGTACATGGAGATGCCGTAAGCCAGGAAAGGAGCCGCCTGGCCCAAAGCGAAAACCAGACCACGGAAGCGAACTTTGCGCCTGCAGGCGACATCCACACGATCGATTTGCTGAACGTACTGATCCAACACCTGACGCTCCAAGCAAAGACCATTGACCGTTCGGATATTGGTAATAGCTTCGACGGCCACTTGAGAAGCCTCCTCGATCGATGCCTTAGCCTTTTGGGCGCTCTTCATGACGAAGCGCCCCTCCAAGTAGACGGACAAACAGACCAGGGGCAGGGTGACCAGTGTGAGGAGCGTCTGTTGCCAGGAGAAAACGAAACCGACGACCATTCCAACCACAAGAGTGGCCACGGCCTGGAGCATGGTGCCCACACGAGCTCCGGTTGCCTGGAATATAGAAAAATGTTAGAAATTTAAAAACATATATATAGTCAATAGTCAAAGTAAATAATATTGACCACAAGCTTTTTAATATTGCTGCTAAGGGTATATTAAAGTATGAAACAATGTTGTTGGTTTACATTTATGTATAAGCAGCTTTTCTGTGGCACCTGCACAAGGTATCTTTATACCCGTTACTCGTAGAGTCGGAAGCGTTTCCGACCATATAAAGTACATATTCTTGATCGGATGAAGTTCTAAACTCCATAACTCAACTTATCTTAATCGGATTTTGAAGTGGCATACCTCTAAATGTTTCCGGAGCAATTCTCTAAAAATCTGCATTCAAATTTAAAATTTAATTTTTTTTTTAATTTTTTGCAATTTTTTTGATGTGATGATGTAGAAATTCAATAAAGTTGAGAAATGCCCCAAGGCTGAAGTTCTAAACTCCATAACTCAACTTATCTTAATCGGATTTTGAAGTGGCATACCTCTAAATGTTTCTGGAGCAATTCTCTAAAAATCTGCATTCAAATTTAAAATTTAATTTTTTTTTTAATTTTTTACAATTTTTTTGATGTGATGATGTAGAAATTCAATAAAGTTGAGAAAAAATCCCCAAGGCTGAAGTTCTAAACTCCATAACTCAACTTATCTTAATCGGATTTTGAAGTGGCATACCTCTAAATGTTTCTGGAGCAATTCTCTAAAAATCTGCATTCAAATTTAAAATTTAATTTTTTTTTTAATATTTTGCAATTTTTTTGATGTGATGATGTAGAAATTCAATAAAGTTGAGAAATGCCCCAAGGCTGAAGTTCTAAGCTCCATAACTCAACTTATCTTTATCGGATTTTGAAGTGGCATACCTCTAAATGTTTCTGGAGCAATTCTCTAAAAATCTGCATTCAAATTTAAAATTTAATTTTTTTTTAATTTTTTGCAATTTTTTTGATGTGATGATGTAGAAATTCAATAAAGTTGAGAAATGCCCCAAGGCTGAAGTTCTAAACTCCATAACTCAACTTATCTTAATCGGATTTTGAAGTGGCATACCTCTAAATGTTTCTGGAGCAATTCTCTAAAAATCTGCATTCAAATTTAAAATTTAATTTTTTTTTTAATTTTTTGCAATTTTTTTGATGTGATGATGTAGAAATTCAATAAAGTTGAGAAATGCCCCAAGGCTGAAGTTCTAAGCTCCATAACTCAACTTATCTTAATCGGATTTTGAAGTGGCATACCTCTAAATGTTTCTGGAGCAATTCTCTAAAAGTCTGCATTCAAATTTAAAATTTAATTTTTTTTTTAATTTTTTCCATTTTTTTTGATGTGATGATGTAGAAATTCAATAAAGTTGAGAAATGCCCCAAGGCTGAAGTTCTAAACTCCATAACTCAACTTATCTTAATCGGATTTTAAAGTGGCATACCTCTAAATGTTTCTGGAGCAATTCTCTAAAAATCTGCATTCAAATATAGAATTTTATTTTTTTTTTAATTTTTTTGTTTTTTTTCTGATGTTATGATGTAGAAATTCAAGAA